TGCCAACGGAGATGACTGATATGTTAATAAAATCATGTGATTTAAAACAAAAGGAGAACAAATTTGTACTTCATGGTTATGGCTATCCAACAGATCAATGTTAGAAATTTTGTAGGAGAAAAATTTAAGGTGGGTTTGTTGCCTAATTGGTATGACTGGGGAATAAAGAGGGTTTCCTATTCAATATTATAAAATGTCTTATACATRACRTGGCTGTCCAAGAGTCATGCCRTCAAACTACTCTCACTACCTTAGTGTTTTCTTTCTTCTGTTGCCCTGATGCTGTCACCCATTCTGATCAACTTTTCACCTGGAAATAAATGAACGATAACAGATAGATATAGAACAGATGAGTTTATAAACTGCTAGCAAAGGCCAGGTATGGTGGTAATACCTATAATCCCAGGGGCTCAGGAGGCTGAGGCAGGAGAATCGTGAGTTCAAAGACAGCCTCAGCAATTTAGTGAGATCTTAAGCAACTCAATGAAACCCTGCATAAAGTAACATACAAAAAAGGGCTGGGGATGTGGCTCAGTGGTTAAGTGCTCCTCAGTTCAATCCCTGATACCAAAAAACAGCAACAATAACAACAAAGTGCTAGGAAAGATTCCATATGGCTCATGTCTGCATTCCTTACAGATATAGCACAGGATATTGCTCCTCCTGGACTTAATGTTGCTTTTTAAATGAGATATCTTTTTTTTTTCCCCAGGAAGTGGGTGAAATGTATGTATGTATGTATGTATGTATGTATGTATGTATGTATCAGGTCAAAATCAGTTTCCTTGATGTTCATGTTTTGGGTAAGTCTCCTAACTGTTACTACGATGAATAACAAGTCTTTTCAGACATTTTATTCTTTGAAATCTTCTTTCCAAATTAAAAAGATGAACCTGTTCCTTCAACACTTATTCTGTACCCTGCCACTCAAGGTCTACTATTATTTGGTGTCAAGCTGACTCTAATTTTATCTCCAAACATTCTTATTTGACCCAACTTTTCAAAGAAACTAGGTATATGTTTTATGGTCTTAGACTTTTATTAAGAACCTCCCCCCAACCCCACCTCTCAGCTCTCTCTCCCTCTTCCTTTCACCTATCCCAGCCTTTGAATAACAGGAGATATGGTTAAAAAAAAAAGAATATGGTCTTTGAATTCAGACCTAAAATTATTACATCTGGTCTATAGTAAGTAACCAATAAATGGCAGCCACTATTATGAAATGAGGCCTAGCATTTATTGAGCACTTACTGTGCATTAGGTAGGACTGTTCATTTTCCCTTAGTATTTTTAGGGAAATTAAGTAAATTTTGATACTGGTATTTTACTGCAGAAGGAAATGTAGGTATAGAGCGGGTAAGTTATTCAAAATCACAGGCCCAAGAACCCACAGTCTCCCCAGGCAGGAAGCCTGTAGCTGGATGAGCTCAGAGGTGCTGCACCCTTCTGCTTCCTTTGTTGAATATCTCTGGCTCATGGGCTCTTTTGCTCTAGCAGCACTGGCTCTGCCTTATTGACTACTCTCTGCCTGGCATGGTTGCAATCATGCCCGGCTGTGCCCCACTCACAGGCCTCAGCTCTCCCACCAACCTCTGTTGGGACTCTCATCCCAATAGATAAATCTAACTCAGATATGCAGCCAGACCAAGCAAGACACTTACACTTGGTTTTGTGGTTGGGGAGTCATTCTCTTTTAGACACAGTCCAGGTTGCCACCAACATCTTGCAGACTGAAGAATCCTTCTAGTTAGGAAACCCTATATACCCAGAATTTTAATTGTTTCCCTAGCCCGTATTTTTAAATTAGCATGGTTTTATATTTTCCCAATAAATGTTCTTGTTATCCATATCTTCCTCTTCTTCCATCATAACATCTGGGCCCAGGTTAAAAGTAGGTATGTTGACTAGAAGACTGAGATTGATTCTGAGGACATCTCAGGGAGTATTCTGCTTCCTAAACGGAAGGCATTCATTTTTCTCTCCCTAGGCCTCTTCTTACTGTATTTCCCCCTATTTTATCTATTACTTCATGCATTTTATCATTAACTTCTTTTATCATTAACTCCTATCTGCAGTGTCGAGGCAGCAGGACCCCTGTGACTCCCAGGATGGTTTTGGGGAAATTTCTGGGTCTCGAGGAGTGGCAGAGGGCAGTGAGTCACTGGGAAGTCCCTGTCAATCAATAGTGTTCAGACAGTCAGAAAGCTGTTCTGATGTCCCTGGGAACCAGATTGGTTCTAGAATGTTATTCTAAAATATCCTGGCATGGTGGCTCATTCTAGCAAGTTGGCTGGCATAAGGGCAACATGGAGGGTGAGGGTGGGGGCTGGGAATGTCACTTAACCACCATAAGTCTGGCTGTCTTCATTTATAAATTGAGGGAGATGTTATTACGAGACCTCACAGGGTTGTTCCAGAATGAATGAGATAAAGCAAGCATTTGATAAGTACTATGGCTGGTGGGGGTGGCCATGTTCTTGAGGATCTTCCCCCCACACGTCATCCAAGGCATATCTAAGAGAGGGACTTGGAGTCAACTCTCATGGAGCTATTTCCAGCACTGAAGCCATTTCACCCAAAGTTAAAGTGTTCACCAGATCTTGATTTAACCAAGTCCTCTCCATCCACCTCACTGTGCTCTCTGAATTTCCTCTGCGACTGTCATTAAAATTCTCCTACAGGTCAACCTCTTTGAGGGTGGTTGGACTCATCCTTCTTGCTGACTCTTCCTAGGTTGCCAGTTCACCTCCCAGGGCCAACATCATCTTGCTCACTCATCCACAGTTTCCCTCGAAGGTTTTTCCCCTCCTTCTTTTACTACCACCCTGTGTGACTTTCATTGTTCACATTTTGAGAAGCTTATGAGTGTTTAGTCTTAGAGTCTTCCTTTCCTCAATTTCAACCTCCTTATCTCCTTCCTCCCTTCCACAGACATTGAGTACATAGAATCCTCACTAGCTTAATGTAACCAAAAAAGATATGTGGATCTTTGGGGTCAAGGGGCTATTTATTGAAGAGTTAAAGATAGGAAACTATGACCATAAAGGCTTGAGGGTGAGAGTAGTCTGTAGTAAGTATACAAAGAGTTCTAAAGAATGAATAATTCAGCCTGAGAGAGTTGAATTGAAGTTTTCATAAAAAAGTATCACATAATGTCCATTTACATTGGTATTTTCCCCTATTTTTTTAATTGTTAAAATACATATAAAGTGTACCTGTTTATCCACTTTTATGCATACAATCCAGATGTTTTGAGTATATTCATATCTCCTTATGTTGAGTCTACAAAGTAAAGCAATATATTAACATGAAATAGCATTAAAACATGCATAATGTAAACATCAAGTTAAGAATAGTGCTTAAAAGGGAAGTGGGAAGCAAATGGTATACCAAAAGGAGAGATCAGGGGCCTAAATTTTTATCTATAATATATTCTTTTAAAAGGGGTTCGGAGATTGAACTCAGGGCACTCAACCACTGAGCCAGTACCCCAGCCCTATTTTGTATTTTATTTAGATACAGATTCTCACTGGGTTGCTTAGCACCTTGCTTTTGCTGAGGCTGGCTTTGAACTTGTGATCCTCCTGATTTAGCCTCTTGAATTGCTGGGATTACAGGCATGCACCCCTGCACTTGCAATGAATCAAATATGGCAAAATGTTAAGGCCTGAAAAACTTAGTTATAATATGTGGTTGGTTGTTTTATCATTTTTTCTACTTTAGTGTATTTTTCTTTGACCTTTTTATCTTGGCCTCAGTGTACACTTCCAGAGAAGGTGCAAGCACACTAAGAGCATCCATATATCCCTCAACCCATTGTTCCAATGTGGACATCTTACATGGCTAGCACAATGAGCAGACCACGATGTGAACTTTGGTGCAGTACCATTAATTAACACAAAGACAGTATTGGAATTACCCCAGTTCTTCCACTAATGTTCTTTTCCTACTCTAAGATCTCATGAGGAACACAAGTTGCATTTAAATGTACTTTCACATGAGTCACCTGCAGTCTGTGACAGGACCTCAGTCTTCTCTTACCTTTCATGACCTGACAATGATGAGATATTTTGTCAAATGTCCTATGGTTGGAATTGTCTGTCATTTTACCATAACTGCAGTAAGGTGATGCATGTTGGCAAGAATCCACAGAGGCTTTGTTGAGCATTCCATACATCTTATGGCAGGATCAGAATGCCTCTTTTTTATACTTTTAAATTATATCATAATTTTAAAAATGGAAGCTAGGTGCAGTGGTGCATCCTGTAACCACAGCTACTCTGGTGACTGAAGCAGAAGGATCACATGTTCAAGGTCAGCTGGACAACTGTCTCAAAATAAAATAAAAAAAGGGTGTGGGTAGAGGTCGGTGGTAGAATGCTTGCTTAGTGTGTACAAGGTTCTATGTTTGATCCCTGGCACTGCTATAGAAGGAAGAAAGGAAGAAAAGAAAGAAGGAAGGAAGGAAGGAAGGAAGGAAGGAAGGAAGGAAGGAAGGAAGGAAGGAAGGGCAGGCATAGTATGTAATCTGGAATCTTGAAACAGAATAAGTAGGAGATTGTAGTCTATGTGTGGCGGTGCATAGTTGTAATCCCAGTGGTTCAGGAGGCTAAGGCAGGACAATGCCAGTTCAAAGTCAGTCTCAGGTTCTTAACAAGGCCTAAGTAACTAGCCAGACCCTCTCTCTAAATAAAATATATTTTAAAAAATGGCTTGGGGGGGGGGATGGGGTTGTGGCTCACTGGTAGAGTGCTCGCCTAGCATGTGTGAGGCCCTGGGTTCGATCCTCAGCACCACATAGAAATAAATTTAAAAAAATAAAGGTATTATGTCCAACTACAACTAAAAAAAATAAATATTTAAAAAAATGGCTTGGGGATGTGTCATAGAGGTTAAGTACACCTTGGTTAAATTCCTAGTATCAAGAAAAATAATAGTAAAGATGAAAAACATAGAAGGTATTACACATAAAATGAGAAACTTTTACAACAAATTAGATGATGGAGTTATGGAGTCTGAGAAGTCCAGGAGCTGCCATCTGCCAGCTGGAGACACAGGAGTGCCAATGGTAATGTTCTAGTCTGAGTCTCAAAGCTGGCAAAGAAGGAGAGCTGATGAGATGAGTCCAGTCCAAGTTCAGAGGCAGGGAGCACTGATGTCCAAGCCCCAAGACAGTTGGGAAGAGCAGTCTTCTGTTTTATTCAGACCTCCAATGGATTTGAAAGAGGCTTGCCCACACTGGGGAGGACAATCTGCTTTACTAGATCTACTGGGTAAAATTTATTTATTTATTTGTTTATTTTGGTACTGGGTGTTGAACCCAGAGGAACTTAACCAGTCAACAACATCACGAGCCTTTTAAAGTTTTATTTAGAGACAGTCTTGCTGAGTTGCTTAGGGCCTTGCTAAGATGCCGAGGCTAGCTTTGAAATCACCATCCTCCTGCCTCAGCCTCCCAAGCCACTGGGATTACAGGTTTGCACCTCCACACCTGGCTTACTGTTACAAATATTAATCTCATCTAGAAACATCCTCACAGACATACCCAGAATGATGCTTAACCAAATATCATTTTGAAATGGGAATGATTATTATGTGCAACTGTATTTTGAATACATGAAACTTCTGTTTGGCTTTTATAGGGCATCCCAACCCAGAGTTGGTCTGGAGTCTCAGAAGACACTTGGACTTGGCCTGGATTTTTGGACAGTGCCAGAGCTGTGGAGACTATGAGACTCTTGGAATTCATCTTGCTCTGTGAGAAGGATATGAGCTGTTTAGGAGACAGGGGCAGAATATTATATTTTGGATGTGAGGTGTTCAGCATAAGCTCTTGTAATGCAAGAATATTCAGAAGTCAAAGGAGTAGATTGTGAGAGCTAAAACCTAATAAACTCATCTTAGTTTGAATGAACTGACTGGTGAGTCAAGGTAGGTGGTGGGACATGTTTGMAGGAGGTGAGTCACTGGGGCATGGTCTAGAAGTGTTCTTCCTGTGGTCCATTCCTCTGTCTGCTTCTTGACTCCTATCTGTTGTCAGCTTTCCTCCTCAGGGTCCTCCTGCCATGATGCAACATGGACCCAGAGCAAAGGAGCCAGTTATCTACGACTTTTGGAAACAAGAGGCTCCCAAATACTTTCCCTTCTCTAAGTTGTTCTTGTCATATACTTTGGTCACACTGACAGAAAAAAATGAATAAAGCAAGGGAATGTGTCCTTTGGATCTCTATCCCCATTTTTCCTTCCACACTTGTGTTCTTCTGTTTCCACGGTAGCCAATTGTCTTAGTGTTCTGTTGCACTTCTTAGTTACTGGATTCAGTATCTGAAGGACTTCAGATAGCCTGTGTCTGCCTCAGGAGTTGGAAGMATCTCTTTTCCTAAGGAAGACACTAGAGCCAGGTGTGATAGTGTCTACAAGGTACATGAATATGAATGAGAGAGAGAGGGAGAGGGAGAGATCAAGTGAAAGCCAATGTGTGTATATTCTCTTCCCCAATGACTTGCTGGAGCATCATGGGAAATGCTGGACAACAGATACCATCAGATGGTGGGAAGATGGACATTTCAATAGCTGTATTCTTTCTAGAAGTAATTTAATATCAATTATCATATTTTAAAAGGATTTGTAATCTTGGATCTAATAACCTAACCTATAGGACTATAAAAGGAGAGGCAGAAATTTTTGGATAAGGGGTTTACTATCATTAAGAAGACTATTGTCAATGGTCTTAATCATGTGAGGTTCATTGATCATTAATAGGTGATTAGCAAAGAGACTTACTGGGAAAGTGGTTAGAATAGTCACATATGTATTTCCTGCTAGCTGTGTCATAAAATTTAATAATCTCACTTTGTTTGATGTGACATTCACACACCTAAGATGTGTGCACACATGTACAATCCATCCATACATGTAGATATGAAGAAAAAAGTACTATAAAGGAATGCAGGAAACTCTTTTCCTGAGAGTTATTATTCCCCTTGGATGGTGGGATGGGGGTATTTATTTTTATCTTACTCTTTTCCTGTTGTTTTCAAATTTTACACAACTATCTTTTAAGACAAGCAGTTCTTTCAACTGTAGTAATAAGATCAAGCATAAGAGGAATCAGGTGGAGATGCTCAGTAAAGAGGGTTACTACTCAATAAGTTTTTAAAGAGAAAGAAGCGGCTCTTCTGCCCCTGATTGGAGAGTGCAAATATAGGATGCACTTCTGCCCGAGTGTGATAGTTGTGAACAGAAAATGGAATGAGTATGATTTTCTAAAGTACATTCTTCTCAATATCACCTATTAATGTTTTTCTTTTGACGTTTCCAGTGTCAAGGGAGACTGGGCATTTGAGCCCTTGGACTCCAAGGAGGACTCATCCTCCGGCAGCAGCTGCCCTGACACAGAGCACTGCATTTCAGAACCCAAATTTAACCAGAGCCTCTCTGTAGGCTCTTTCCCCTTTGAAGACAGCACTGACTKYGAAGACTTGACCTCTGAGGGTCTTCCTGGCCTCATCCTCCCTCCTGTCCAAGGGGCCTGGGGAACCAAGAGTGTAAGGAGATCCATGGGTAGAAGAAATAAAATCCAGGACAAGCCAGAGAAGCTTCGTGAAAAAGCCATCATTGAGATCTTGTACTCCTATCTGAGCTGCCTCCAGGAAGATGCACTAGCTGGCTGGCCTCAAAGTGATGACTACCAGAGGATGGACAAGTGCCAACAGGAGACGGTCACTCAGGCCTTCTGCGAATTCGATGATCTCATGAAAAATATTAAGGCATTTCTAGACAATACAAATGATGACGAAGACAATTTCTCGGTGCTTTCTGATCCTCCTCAGGAGGAGGATGTTCAGCCATCCAGAAGTGTCTCTTCCCATATGGATCAGGTCGTTCCTGAAGAACACGAGGATTGTCAGGACTTGCCCAAGTGGAAACCACCAGAAAATGGAGATACCACACAGTTTCCAGAAATGCCTCTTGGGCTTGAGGATGATGAAATTGTTGAGGTGAGCACAGATCTGCCCAGAGCAAGGGGTAGGCCCTGTGTGTGTAGGGGTGCCAGGTGGGACAGCATGGAGTCCTTGTACCTGCTGTGAAGCAGAAGAGGGACCCCAGTGTCTGAGCCAGATGAGCAATGGGAGAAGGACCACCGCAAGGAAAGGAGACAGAGAAGAGGTATTGGGAAAATGCCAAGGAACACTGAGAGAAAGAGAGGGGAGGAGCAGAGAGATGTACTAAAGTGCATGTGTGCATTTCATGATGAAAGAGTAATGAAACTTTGCACTTACAGTTGGCTAATTTTGGTACAAAAGTAAATTAGAATTCCATAAATGAGTCAATATTGGCTCCATTACTGCTGACCCTTAATGTCTCTAACTATTCTTCATTGTCTTGGCAGATGGAAAGCCAGGAGACTGGCACTGCAGAAAGTGCCTCAGTCTCAGCAGAGCAGTCAGACGAAGAGGACGTGCCTTCAGACGCAGAAAGCATTTCCTGTCTGAATTATAGAGGCTTCTTCCACTGGCTCAGGAAGCAAGTGGTCTCCTACCTGCCAGGGAGAAAGCGCCATGAGAGGGCCAACAAGGTCCCCATTCTGCTGGCACTAAAGAGAAGACATTTTGTTGGAGGCCACAGACTCCTACCTCAAGAATCCTTCTAGTTAGGAAACCCTATATACCCAGAATTTTAATTGTTTCCCCAGCCTGTATTTTAAAATTAGCATGCCTTTTTGTTTTCCCGTTCTTGTTATCCATGTCTTATTCCTTTTCCAAGATAACATCTGGGCCCAGGTTGAAAGTACGTATATTGACTAGAAGACTGAAATTGATTCTGAGGACGTCACAGGGAGGAGTATTTTGCTTCCTAAATAGAAGGCATTCATTTCTCTCTCCCTATGTCCCTTCTTACTGTATTTTCCCCACTTTTATCTATTATTTCATGCATTTCAACCTCTTTCATCATTAACTCCTATCTGCAGTGTCAGAGGCAGCAGGACCCCTGTGACTCCCACATGGCAGGATGGTTTGGGTGGAACTTCTGGGTCTTGAGCAAGTGGCTTAGGGCAGTGAGTCACTGGGAAGTGTCCATGTTAATCAATAGTGTTCAGACAATCAGAAAGCAGTTCTGATGTCCCTGGGGAACCAGATTGGTTCTAGCATGTTAATCTAAAATATCCTGGCATGTTGTCTAGTTCTAGTAAGTTTGCTGACACATGTGGCTCATGGGGAAGGAAGGTGAGAGCTACCGTAAACTGTGTTTTCTTATCAGGCTTATCTCTAAAGGTGGCCCATTCAGCTAAGATCTCTCTGCTCAAGAGAGTACTGGTAAGATCAATGTAGCATGGCCCATGTCTTAAATGGCCAGTAACAAATATGAAAAAACACAGAGAGGATCACCAAAACCAGGGTTTATAGATGGTAACCTTTAAAACAGACAGACTGCATGTACAAATTTCTTCCACTTACTTTACCTTTGACAGACCTACTCCAATTTCAAGATTGTGTAATAATCCAGAAAGCCATTCCAAAGCAAATTGTTACAGCAAAACACCTTAGACAGGATCATACCTATAGGTGGTCCTTTCTTCAACTCACTTTCCACTGACAGACCAATTCCAATTGCAGCATTTTCTAAAACACACAGAGACAACAAGAGAGGAGCCCCCAGAACCATGACTAACAGATGGGAAACTTTAAATTGACCAGCCAAGATCTTTCCCAAGAGACTACCTACAGGATTAATGTGGTATTGGCCATGTCTTTTTTATTTATTTTGTGATGCTGGGAATTGAACCCAGGGCCTTGTGCATGCAAAGTGAGCTCTACCAACTGAGCTATATCCCCAGCCCACATGCCTTAAAAGGGAAGTGACAGATACAAACCAAACAAAAAACAGACAACCAGAGGGAATTCCCAGGCCCAAGACCAACCAACAGATGAGAATCATGATGAATGGGGATCATTGATGAAGGAAAGTATTTGACGATGGGAAAGAAAGGGATCCTGTAAGAAAGGCTGAAGAAATCATTCTTAGATACCTAGATAAATAAATTAACTCTGTTATTGTCTCTCTAAAGAAAAGGTTTTTCATTATATTTAATTTGATAAAGTGAAATGCCTGTAAATAGCTAGAATAGCTTGAAAAAATAAAAATTGTGGGGAGAAAGTTGCTCTAAATTCTGTGTCACTACTCATTGACTCACATCTGTCAACTCATAAAAAAATGTTAGATTACACTCTTAAGTCTACATTAGAATATGTTCTAGGTAAATTCACACTTAACAGAAGCGATAAACATAATGAAAAATCATCATGGGCATCTAAGCATACTTTCAAAGGCAAAAAGATTTATAAGTGTTCTGATAGAGTAAATGAAAAAAATTTTAAATTTTATTTTCTTGGTTCTTCTTAGTTATATATGACAGCAGAATGCATTTTGACAGATTATACATAAATAGKATATCTCTTATTCTAATTAGATCACATTCTTGTGGGTGGTCACGATGGTGGGGTTCACTTAGGTATTTTCACATGTGTTCATAGGAAAATTATGTTAGATTTATTCTACTGTCTTTCCTATTATTACTCACCTCTCTTCTTTTGGTTCCCCTTTGTCTAATCTACTAAACTTCTTTTCTTCCCTTCCCCCACTTTATTGTGGTTTAGCTTCCACATATCAGTGAAAACATTCAACCTTTGGTTTTTGGGGATTGGCTTATTTTGCTTAGCATGATATTCTCCAGGTCCCTCTATTCATTGGAAAATGTCATAGTCTTTCTTCTTTATGCTTGAGTAATATTCTATTGTGTATCTATGCCACAATTTCCTTATCCATTCATCTGTTGATGGGCAACTAGGTTGGTTCCATAGCTTAGCTATTGTGAATTGTACTGCTATAAATATTGATGTAGCTTTGTCACTGTAGTATGCTGATTTTAAATCCGTTGGATATATGCAGAGGAGTGGGATAACTGGGTCAAATAGTGGTTATATTCCTAGCTTTTTGAGGAATTCAAAAAATAGTTTTTGAGATTCCTAGTTTTTTGAGGAATCTCCATACTGCTTTCCAGTGGGGTTGCATCAATTTTCAGTCCCACCAACAGTGTATGAGCATTCTTTTTTTCCCCACATCCTCACCAACATTTTTACTGTCAGTCATAATATGAATTTCTTCTGGTTACTATGACAAAAATTCACAAATTTAACAGCATAAAAAATGGATGTCAATTTTCTTACAGTACTGAAGGTTAGAAGTCTAAAATCAGTATCACTGAGCTGAAATTGAGTGGTTGGAAGGATTATATCTTTTATGGAGGCTCCAGAGAAAAACCCATTCTTGGCCTCTTCCAGCTTCTGGTGGCTGTTGACATTCCTTGGCTTGTGGCTACATCACTACAATCTCTGCCTCTGTGGTTACACTGCTTTCTCCTCTTCTGTGGGAGTGTACATAATATTCCTTTTTCTTTCTTTCACAAGAACACCCGTGATTACATTTAGAACTTACCTGGATAATCCAAGATAATCTTTCCATCTCAAAATCCTCCACTTCATCACAATGGTTATGTCCTTTTTTTGCAGTATGAGGTATCATTCCCACATTGTAGAAGATATGAATATTTGTGTAAGAGGGTAGGAAGTCTGACCTCCTAGAATCACACAAGAATGTGCTCAGCCCTGGGACATGTAATGAGACTGACCTTGGGTTAAGGAGCAATTTCAAACTCTTTCTGAATTAGTAAAGTTCAAACTTTACCTCTGAAGTTTTGATGTAGGAATTGGCTGAAATAGATGGACAATGGGCAGATTAATAAGAAGAAAAAGATAAAATTTATATACATGCACTGGAATATCAGAGGAATGTGAAAATCCCAAACCCAACACAAATTACAAGCTTACATAAAGGGGTTATTTGGGGACATGGGGTTGTACCATCCACTTTTCCTTTAGGGATAATAGAGAAGAGTCATGCTGTTCCCTTGGAGTTAGCATGACACTGGTACAGATCCCCAAAACATATGAGCAATAGCATTTAAAGCATCTATAATAGCATACAAGTCATTCTGACCTCCATTAATTGCTTTTCCTTAGATAGAAACACCTTTGAAGATTCCTTCCCTCCTATCAATATTATAACCCTATGTTTAGGTTTGTTACTTCCTAGAAACAGGCCATCTTCTCTTTCCTAACCCAGAGAATTGGTCAGGAACTCCAAATTTTATATGTACAATATAGTCAACAGTAGCTGATCAGTAGGATCATATAAAAGTTGTAAAATAATTTATGAACACTTGCTTTTTTCTTTCTAATCAAGATCCTTCATGGGCTATATTATTTACATTTTTTCTGAATGCATTTTCTGGGTTTCCTTTAGGGTTTATTCAATTGCAAATGGCGGGCAATTCAATTGAAATCAACTTACACCGACATAAAATATTGTGGCCTCTCATAACTGAGCAGTCATGGCTTCATCCAGGTACATAAGTGATGACACTATGACCCAATCTCTCTTTCCATGTCTTGCTTCTGTCCTTCACTTTGACTTCATTCTCTATAGTTTTAAGATATTTCCTGCCAGGTTCAATTCCATGAGAGAGGTCACATCCCTTTTTCTTCAGGTAGGAATCTCAGAATTGGTCTTGCATAGGGATTAATTTAACTGGCAGTTTGATCTGAATGCCTTAACTTACCTTTACCTCTAGGGTAATGTGATGCCTTAGTTTGGTCAGGCCTAAGTCCTATATCCCACGGAGGAGGTACAGCTACAAAGGGGATCGARGTTAGAGTTTGTTCACCAAAAATAGAGAATGGATAGCCATTATGTTATTTTCAATTATAATCCTAATTGTACATATTTTGGGGTATGGTATGATATTTCCATTTGAACAATGTATACTGATCAAATCAAGCTAATTACCATTTCCATCTCCTTAACTTTATGGTTGGAGCCCTCAAGCTCATCTCTTGTTGTTATCCATAAAACACATTATAGGTAGTTGTGATCAGTAGTGCTTCCACTGCGTTGTGTAACACTAGAACTTACTCCTTCTATCTCATTGTGTTTTGATGTCTATGATCCAATCTCCTCATATTCCCTTCCCTCCACCAATCCCAGCCTCCAATAATCACTGTTCTACACTCACGTCAACTTATTATTAGGTTCCACACATGAAAGAGAACATGTAGTATTGTCTTTTGGTATCTGACTTGTTTCACTTAATTCCATCCATTTTCCTGGAGGTGATAGAATATCATTCTTTATGGCTGAATGATATACCATGTGTATATGTCACCTGTTTATTATCCATTATCCATTGATGGGCATCTAACTTGATTCCATATGCCATTCATTCTATTATATGATGTGAAGTATATTTTATTTTAGCCAGAAGAAATGGTTTAAATAGCTTATTGCATTAAATCAAGATTTTTAAAAAGGCTACATTCTTAAAAATCTAATTTTGCCTGATAGTCCTTTCCTTGACTAGAGTAAAGTTATAAAAAATTATAAAAAGTTATAAAAAATATAAAAAAGTTTATAAAAATTTCCTTCAAAATGTATTTGCCCCTAAACTATTTTCCCTGCATCAAGCAGAATATTTGTCGCAGAGAACTTTTGTATCCACTAGCAAGACTTGTAAATTTTTAATTGATAGATATAATT